CTGGACCAATTACTCTACGCTCCATGCGTTCTGCTGACATCCCAAGTATAGTGCCAGCGTGAGTGATTAAAACTTCTCGCCAGTATCTTCTATATTTCCTGTCAATTCTGGTCTCATTTGAACGAGCTCAAGGACGGAACGCCTGGCTGGCTTGCCAAGATTCGACCACTAACTTGTCACCGGACTATGCGGGTGATGGAGGATACACTTTCCTACACCACCTTTTTCCTGCACTAATTCATCGTGCTTGAAACTTGTTGCTGCAGAAAAACACAACACGTAAGGCCTGTTTTGCACTTTTCTTGCAAACTCTTGGTTTTTACATTGTCGTTGAGACACCTGCTGAGGTGATCTGTCGAGGAAGAGCGTTGCTGATATGCGACAGAAAAGCTTCTGAGCAACATCAACACTGAAAAGCTAGATGGCGCAGCGTTTTACCATCACAAACCAGTAATCCGTCAGTCTTTGCAAAGTACATCTGCTCAGATTTCCATTACTATTACGGGTTTCTGGAAGTTTATGCAGAAGTGCCTTCAGGTCCTCAATCAACGCGCTCTCACCTGCACCTCATCAAGCAGAGCTTACAATAAAAGTGCCACAATTTCTACCTTGCTAGACACGCTTTGTAGTTTGAGGCAGGAGGAATTCTCAACGAAAGAATGGCTGGGGTTGTATTTGTTAGGGGGTATTCGGGGGATACCGGTTTTAGGGAATGAAATGGTGGAAATGGAGAGGACGTGCGGAATGAAGGATTGGATGAATACGATGGTGATGAAGAAGAAGGGATCGATCGGGATATATAAGAGTGATCTCGTGTAATAAACAGTTCATTCTCCACTGATCTCTCGTCAGACAACTGTATATGAATGCTACTTGTGGGCGCAACAGTCAACCATTGCATTTCATTGAGAAGGTATAGGATGAGGGCTCACGCTTCAATGCAGCGAATTGAAATGCGTGAGAAAGCGTGGTAAAATATCAAAACACAGAGAAGGATTGTTTACATTCGTTGCTGCAAATTGTATCATCTCCAAAGAACTGATTTCAGACGAAATAAGCTTCAACTAGCGCGCCTTTCGCCACAAAAAGGCACCACCTGGCTACCTTTGACGTCGGCCATAACTTCTATTGGGGTGTATTCATTTCTGATACAGACTCACTTTGTCGTACACATGGTCTTCAATTTCATATATCAAACCCCGCCCAGTCTGGCAATCGCCCCTCTCCTTCCGCTATGTAAATATGTACCAAATTGGTCCCATTTATTCCTTGACCCCTAATGGCACATCGAGATGTCTTCACTAATCATTGTCCAGGCCCGATCACATGAAAAAAGTAGAATGCGAAGTGCATCTCAAAAAGTGATCAGCCTACGCCGGATTTTTATCCTTTTCTCTACAAAGAGGAGCACATTGGCCTTGCACCACCAAACCTCTATGCCAATATAACTCACTTCAAACATAACTGTATTTCTGAAGGGAGATCAAATGTTCGTCGCAAATGAGGACCAAAAAAAGTTTATCGTGAGGTGCTTCGATTCGTATTGGGTACGAGAAAGTATGTTCTTCAGTTATTTTGAAGTTCTAGACCAGATCCTAGTAAAGATATATGTAGGCTTCTGATTTTTCGAATAGTTTGAAGGTTGTTTCATCATGTTCCTCAGTAAGAGACTTCCTAAACTAGTGAGCCTTAAAGGCACGGGTCGCGATTGAATTTGTGTGCTATTTTTATCGAAAATCAAACAAGAAGTGTGAAGGGGAATGTTACTGATGGGAAACAGTAAAGTTTATCACGTGAGGTCGACGGTGGTACATTGAAGAGACATAGCCTTTCGAGTTTCGGTGAACGTACTTGTAATTCTTCAAATTTCTTTTATATTGATTTTTTTGAAAAACAGAGGACAGGTTCGGAAGGTGCGACTTTTTTGTTTTTCAGATACCACAAGGAGAGTTCTTAAAGGCAAACCCCGGGATTAAACTGGTGCTATTAGCGCTTCGTGGTGATAGCTTAGCTGCGGAACGACCTGAAAGTGGGAAGGAAAGCAAGAGAAATCTTTGGGAACGCTGAAATTAAGGCCTTAACCTTCAATAAGGTCGGATGTGGTACGATGGCGAGACAGGGCGGTCAAAGAAGACAAAATACGCGAGAGAGCACGTCGTTTGAGAGAGCACGCTGATCTCTACATCAATGCACGCTGATCTCACCACCTCTCGCGGTGGGTGGGAAGCGTTGGAATGGGGTCGATGGTTGCAGGCCCGTAAGGATTAGCGCCCTAACCGCGCAATTTTGCGACGAAGCTGGAGTGATCTAGGTAGGTAGGGACCTTACAATTTCCCTCGCGGTATCCCTCCTACTAGTCGGGCTAATCCCGGGGTTTGCCTTTGAAGGAAGTGGTCGCGTTTATTCCATCGAAAAATATCTCATTGAGCTAGGTAGCGAGACTTCTTATCACAAGGGTGATGGTACA